TTGGTTTTTTTTGCTAATTAGATATATATGCGAATTTAACATCTGTAAACTTCTGTTGCCTAGATTTGTCAATGAGCCTGTCACAAGCCAAGAACTTTATCACCGATTGTATTTTATTATAAAATTTTGTTTTGTCGTTGTTTTAATGTTGTCTCATCGACGTTTAACCCGCAAAGAGTTCTTCAATATACGAGTCAATCTTGGTTTTTGATCCCTTTAAAATTATCAAACTCCCTGGTTGGTTGTTTTTTATAGAGTCTTCCACAGTAAAAAACGAAAAAAAAAACCAAAGAATTAAATGGTAAAATCTGCTAGGGCGTTCATCCGTCGTTTCTGCTCATCAGACAATTTATGAACGTTACTATTTGTTAAATTTGTGATTTGCCATTTTGTATTATTCAAATATTACTGTGTTTTATATATGTAATCAAGACTAAAGATTTAGATTTGTGCAACGATACTAGTAGAACATGTACAACTTAGATAAAATGAAATCGTATTGACAAATATTTCGGTACAACAATTAAACATAAGCACTCATACGAGGTGTTCCTGTTGCATGGCTTTTAATTTTTAATGTAGTGTTTTGTAGACTGTTGCTTGACTTTCTACGTTTTTCGGGTTTTTTTTTTCAACGATTTTAATAGTATGTTTTCTATTTGTGTATATGAATAGTCCTTTTTGCGCCTCTTTTAAACATAACATCGTGAATAACAGTAATATTTACTCCCCATTTACAATACTATGGATCAAATGACCAGAAGTAACTTACTGTAAAATTGTTACTGTTAATGTCTACGCACCGGTCTCGGTCCTAATAGAGATGATGTAATACACTCAGTTTTTTGTTTATTTTCTTGATTTTTCTTCTTCAATTTATGAGGCTGAACATCTGTTAATTACTGTTGCCTAAGTTTACTGTCGACAGGAAAAAGAAGTTTGCATATATATTCTTATGTTTCATGGTAAACTAAGTCTTGTGCTTGGTATTTTACATGATTCTAATAACTAACTATAAATTTGTTTGTTGTATGTCCGTTAGAAAATATTGCTTTATTAAAAGTACTTCGATTTTGAATGATAACACATAGTCACGTAAGTTCATTTGAGTTATTCCTCTTCCATCATTACTACATTTACCTTTAGTGTATTTTCATACAGTTAGATCGGAAGATTCAATAGGCTTCAAAGTTGTTTAGGAAAATGCTTTACACCATTACGATTTCTTTGCTATTGTTATTTGTGAGGTTTTTTAATAGGGTTTTCCAAAGGAAAAAAAACGGTTATTAAAATGGTAAAAATTGGTGGCCGCTGTACGGTTGATTGGGAGGGCAGACGCAACAGTTTACGTTCAAGAACAGTTGAACCAATGCTTTTCAAATTTTGATGTGCGGTTACTGATCACAAAAAGGAAGTAAACGTCATTATTGACGATTTTCGCTTTTACCGTTCAGGAGTTGATGGATTGAAAAATATCCCTTTATGTGGTTTCTGTGCAATTTCTAATGAACCGTTCAACCAATGCTTTTCAAATTTAAATATGTTGTTACTGATAACAAGAGAAAGGGCAAGTTCAATATTGACAATTTTCCCTTATATTGTTCAGGAGTTATGGTCCTTTATAGATTAGAAAATCGCAATATATGTCGTCTTCATGAACTTATGAAACATTCGTTAATGCTTTTCAAATTTTTTGTTACTAGTGAAAATTGGAGACCAATAACATTAACAGTACCAGAAGCGCATTTTGACAAAAAGATGTATCTTCAGTGATGATCGATGCCTTAATATTTGAAAATTCAAAACTTATTAAAACATGTTCGATATTTAAAACAAGTTTGATATTGACTATTTAAAGTTACGTATACTTATGTGTATTACAAAGTAAAATAGATAATCCCCTGTACACACTTGTACTATGAAAAGCAGCCATTGTACCACATATTAAGCAGGATCTGATTACCCTTCCGCAGCACCTAGGATCACACCCTGTTATATGCTTGGCTTGTGTTGCTCAGCCTTTGGTTTTCTACGTTGTGTCTTGTATACCGTTATTTGTCTTTTGATCGTTTTTCATTTTTTGCCATGGGATTGTCAGTTTTTTTTCCACTATTGGATTTGAATATACCATTGGTATCCTTCGTCTTTTTATTACAATGGATTACTTGAATGTAACTTGTGACAAACAGCAATCGGACAGCAAACTAACTAAAATGTTTGTTTATCGAAATAGGTCGTTTTCGTTTTTTGTTAGCATCGTCAGTTTGGACACCCCTTTGGTATCTTTCGCCTCTCCTATACTTCTTCTAGATGCCAACGGAAACGGCTACAGGCTACGAAAAGGATACTCGCCACTTATACTATATTTCTCTCTATCATAATAAGACGAATAAAAAAAACATTAAAACATTAAAAACTCACAATAGAAAATATAATCGAGGAAGAGCTGTTTAATCTAATCATTTCAGTATTACAGAATACCAAAACACAACAAAATATAAATAATACTATACATTTATAATACAGTATCAAAGAATTCTCTCAAATATTGAAAACATTCTCATAATACTTTATCATTAGTATGAAATGATGCCTTTATAAAAAGCGTTTAATCTTAAATAGTTATCATGATATACATTCATTGTTTTCTGTTTGGTATTAAATTAACAACTAAGATCCATTTTGTTACATCTGGTGATTCGTTTATTTGGCAATCGCCAATGGCAGTCAGCAGGGTTTAAGAACATCCGTTGTTCGACCTGCTAGTCAAATGTGTTTTGTTAAAATATACATTTTCACTTTTTTTGGTCTTTTGGAAAACGTTGTTTGTGCTTTATTTAGACCCCTCTACCAAGAAATTTGTTTTGCATGCACACGTATACAAATTGCGGTTTTTATCCAACGCAATCATAGGTTTGAACGTTGTTTTCAATTTATACTTGTATATAAAGGTCTAAATTGAAAACAACGTTCAAACCTATATGATTGCGTTGGATAAAAAAGCGCAATTTTTATACGTGTGCATGTAAAACAAATTTCTTGGTAGAGGGGTCTAAATACAGCACAAACAACAATTTTCAAAAGACCAAAAAAAGTGAAAAAGTCTATTTTAACAAAACGCATTTGACTAACAGGTCGAACGACTGATGTTCTTAAACCCTGCTGACTGCCATTGGCGATTGCCAAATAAATTGATCACCAGATCTAACGGAATGGATCTTAATATTTATTTAATACCAATCAGAAAACAATAAACTTGTGGAAAAGATGGTATACCACAAACATGAGGGGCAAAAATTTGTACACCATATCCGGATTTCGACAAGTAATGTCTCTTCAGTGATGTTAGGGATCGAAACGGTATTTGGAAGGCCATATAATTTACCTGAATTTAGGATAGACTCTTAAATTTTAAAGAGTCGAAATAGGATGAACGGATCATATAAACCCGAAGGAAAATATAATACAAGTCCAAACGAAAAAATATATAAAAGTCTAAATTGAAAACAACGTTCAAACCTATATGATTGCGTTGGATAAAAACCGCAATTTTTATACGTGTGCATGTAAAACAAATTTCTTGGTAGAGGGGTCTAATTACAGCACAAACAACAATTTCCAAAAGACCAATAAAAGTGAAAAAGTCTATTTTAACAAAACGCATTTGACTAACAGGTCGAACCCCTGCTGACTGCCATTGGCGATTGCCAAATAAATTGATCACCAGGTCTAACGAAATGGATCTTAATATTAATTTAATACATATATATATATATATATATATATATCTATATATATATATATATATATATAAGTCTAGACGATACTAATATAAGATGGTATTATGCGAAGATGTTGTTATTAAATCGTGTTGACAAATATTTCGGCTAAACAAATAGCCTTCCTCAGTGTCAATAATTTTAACAATTCAAAATATATCGAAATACCCTTTCGATTCCTAACATCACTGAAGAGACATTAATTGTCGAAATCCGGATATGGTGTACTAATTTTTGCACCTTTTGTTTGCGGTATACCATCTTTTCCGCAAGTTTATTGTTTTCTGTTTGGTATTTAATTATTAGTTAAGATCCATTTTGTTACATCTGGTGATCCGTTTATTTGGCAATCGCCAATGGCAGTCAGCAGGGTTTAAGAACATCCGTTGTTCGACCTGCTAGTCAAATGCGTTTTGTTAAAATATATTTTTGCACTATTTTGGTCTTTTGGAAAATGTTGCATATTTTTTGCATGCACACGTATAAAAATTGCGGTTTTTATCTAACGCAAATATAGGTTTGAACGTTGTTTTCAATTTAGACTTGTTTATATATATATATATATATATATATATATATATATATATATATATATATATATATATATATATATATATGTGTGTGTGTGTGTGTGTGTGTGTATGTGTTTGTGAGTGTATTTTTAAAACTGAATGATTTGGCAAAGTTCTTCGTGAAAAATTCGTCTTACGTATTTGGAAAGAGAAAGCGCTTACCTTGAATTTGTTTCTCATACGAGCCATTTTCAAATATATTTTGTTAGATTTAGGTTCTAACATTTTATTAAAGCTTGTTTCTAAACAGAAGACTAACATATAGATGGGTAAAGTTGCTAAAAATCGCAATATTGACAGATTTTGCATAGTGTAAGCATTTAATAATGTATAAGAAAGACATTATTTACGAAAAACAAATCCTCTTTGATGGAAACTATTTAATTTCTTTCGGATATAACTTAATTCTTTTGCATAGCGACGTGTGTCGATGAAATTCATATAAAAACATGTAAATTGTGTAATGTTCGTATCAAAATAGCTATAGTAGCATTGAGTAGCGTTGAATAACATTTGATGTTATTAAAATATGTGAACTTGTTGAAAAAGTAGGGAAATCGACATTACCTCTTTTACAGAATCATATATTGTTATTTGATAACATGATTGATTTCCGTTAAAAATACTTATAAAAAAGCCGTAGTTGTTATTACATTTTTTTTTATTAAGAAATACAAAGCGTACAGAATGTGAACTAAATATTCAAACTTTAAATGGGTATATGTAAGTTATATAGACTACAGAATTACATATGTTGTATATATTATTTTCATATAATGTATGATAAAGGCTATGAGTTATGTATAGAATTGAAATTGAATATGATGTGTACTTGTAAAGGGCCATGCCAAAAATAAGAAACTATAGCGAATACTCTTAAATGTATATAAAATATTGTAAACCCACAAATTAGGAAATATTACAGCTTTCATTTTCGCAGACTACTGATTGAAAATATCGATACAATAACGCTATTAAAGTTGTGCTAAAATTATGGTTTGTTGATTTATAATAAAAAAAAAACATTTTAAAGCAATAAAGTTGATGGCAATGACTGCACAAATGATGAAAAAAATGTACACTGTTTATAATACTGCTGGTCGTTTATCATACTTGATTGATATCAAATTTAAATCACGTGGAGTACAATTGTTTTTATATCATATAGATATACAGATAACTTATATAATTGTGTCATTTTAAGCAAATATCACTATTTTTCTCGTCGAATTCGTTTTTCCATATACTGTACGTTATCCTATATTCAAATGTTTGCTCTCTGGGTATATATTGAACCGATCAGTACATTTTTCACTGATGTTACTGAATAGCTAATCCTATCAAAACATTATTATTTGCCAACAACTTGATACGCTGATATCGAAACACTGTCAGTGTTAGGTATTCATTACATTTTTGGTTCATCAAATGAACAAACAGACAACGTTGACTACCGTTATTTACAGAGTATAATTGCTATAATCAATTCTTATTCGTTCGCAGGTTCATCAAAAACGTCATTTTCTACTTGTCTAACTTTATACTCGGCTAGCACATAGAACATGATAGCAATTACAAGGACAATCATAAGCATGTAGAGTTTTCCTTCTACACACATGAAAGTTCCTGACAAGAAGGCAAACATCAATCCAAACGCCTGAAGCATCCTGTAATTAGCAAACGCTATGTCCGCTTCTTCAACACATGTGATACAAATCAAAGCTGCAAATAAACATTGTAATAATATATAATGTATCAGTTTTATTGTGTAAAAGATTATAACATGAAAACCATCTATATTTTTTATTCATACCAGGTTTAAACATTTACAAAGATGCAGTAAATTCCAAATCATGTCAGTACTGATTTTTTTGTATAGTAAATTGATGATAATCGTTTAAAGTAAACGACTGTTGTTTTCAATATTTTGTGTTTTGTATAAATGTATTGACTCCAAAGACAGATAAAACAAACCATATTAGATACATCTGTTGTAAAATGAATTTGTCTAAATATGCCTTTAAATTGATAAAAATGATACAAAACATGTATTGTGATTCATTATTGACGAAATATAAACAGCAATAATTGTAATGTGAATTGATTTATTCAGGAATAAAATATGTTCAATTGGACATGCAACATGTTTCCATGACAACTAAAAGTCGGCGTCATGTACATTTTTATAAACGAATTTATCTATTTGATGTTGCCTTTGAACAATTAAGAAAAGAGTATCATTTCAACTAATGCTTTTGAAACATCATACAATGGTTTTTATTATTGACCCACGTATCGCTGATGAGCTGTGTTAAAACGAAAAAGATTACAAACTGATTCAATTATATTTCCATTGGATCGTTTTTCTAAAGTATTACTTGAAACCATCGGCTTTTTGTATCACAATGTTGTTTTTTAATTGTGTTTCCACAGATTTTCGATTCTATGATAAAAAGTAAAATCACAAAAATACTGAACTCCGAGGAAAATTCAATCGGAAAGTCCCTAATCACATGGCAAAATCAAATGACAAAACACATCAAACGAATGGACAACAACTGTCATATTCCTGACTTGGTACAGGCATTTTCAAATGTAGAAAATGGTGGATTGAACCTGGTTTTATAGCGCTAAACCTCTCACTTGTAGGACAGTCTTATCAAATTTCGTTATATTTACAACGATGCGTGAACAAAACAGACATTATAAATAAAATAGTCAAAATATGGGTACAGCAGTCATCACTGTGTTACAATATCAAAACAAACAATTATTTACAAAAAAAGCACAAAAGCATCTATCAAATTAAGACCCACATTCATTGCTTCGCGTGTCTGACGTCAGAAAATGTAAACGTCACATAAGAAAAAAGTTTGTCATTCAATGTCTATTCAAAACAATTTTATAATTTCACATGGGGAATGTTGGTATACTGGGTTAAAAAATCAAAAGTTATGTTAGAATTAATTTCAGAAATAGACCGAGATTTATAATTGTCCAGAAGTTATTCAGAACCCTTAAGAATCCACATATGGTAAATACCACTACGCGAGTAAAATAAATTTGTCGTTTGTCGTTCAAAGTATTTTCAAATTTATAATAGAACAATAACATAATGACATATAATAGAACAATAACATAATGACGGGATCTTTTAAAGTACAGAGTCACGTTATAAGAACCACAGAAACACAAAAAGTCGCATATACAAAACACACCAGTAAAAATTAAGGATAATACAAACACATAGACGGGATGTATAAGTACCTAGCCACGTCAAATGGATATCACAGAAAACAAACCAAACAGTAAAAGTAATATTAATAATAGAACAAAGACAAATGAAAGAACAATATTACACGTTGTTAAGATGATAAACAACGTCAGTATGCAGAATCTATACTTCAAGACCATCATGTATTGTTTGTGAAGTTGATACGGAATATTTATCAACAAGGTCTTGGTACCTTCCGATGAACTTTTTTAGAAAAAGGACGAGACGTTCTTTGACATACCCCTGGTTCATCAACTTTCTGCTCAGACACTGGTGACGTTTTACAAAGTCTGAGTAAGAGCTGCAAGCTCTTGAATATCGAATAAGTTGGGAAATGTATATCCCATATGCAGGTGAAGTTGGTATATTGCTACTAAGGTGGGGGAAATTTATAATTTTAAAATTAAAATCGTCTCGTTTGTCATAGATTCTGGTACTGAGATGACTGTGTATGTCAAATTCGAGATATAAGTCTAAAAATGAGGCGGAGGAAGCCGTGTCTGTTGTTTCTTTAATTTCTAGTTCTGGGGGATATATTAATGGAACCCAATCAGAAAAGTTCGGATTGTTAATGGAAAGAACATCATCAATATATCTAAAAGTGAAATTAAATAATCTGGCTTCTTTGATCTTCTTGTTTTTGACAAGTGTCTGAAGGAACTCCGATTCATATGAAAATAAGAAGAGGTCGGCAAGGAGAGGCGCACAGTTCGTTCCCATAGGAATGCCGACAATTTGTTGAAAAAGTCTACCTCCAAATTCAACAAATATGTTGTCGATAAGAAACTCCAGCATACTGATCACTTGTTCTTCTGTGTAGCATGTTTTACCCTTTTGTTCACTATTAACAAAATATGCCTTATGATATCCCAAAGTAATAAATTTATAGCGTATGCTACCATTTTTATGATGAAAGGCATTGTGGATTATTTCTTTCAAGCGATTTTTCAATTTCACATGGGGAATGGTGGTATACAGGGTTGAAAAATCAAAAGTTTTGATAGAACTAATCTCAGAAAAAGACCGAGATTTAAAATTATCTAGAAGTTCTTTAGAATTTTTAAGAATCCACATATGGTTAATACCACTACGCGAGTAAACAGTTTCACAGTATTTCTGAAGACCCTCTTTCACTGCGGACAGAATTTTAGTCAATCTAATGGACAATTCTTTAGTGGAACATGCAGATGAGCCGGCAATGTACCGTTGTTTGTAAGGAATTTTGTGGAGCTTAGGTATCCAATACAAAAAAGGTAAGTCCTCCGATTTGGTGTTCAATGTAATGTTCATTGAAGCCATGAAGGACTTATGATTTGCTAAAATCTCATCCTTGTCAAATGATATGTCTTTGTATGTGGGATTACCTGAGTGCTCATTTATTCCTAATTCTTTTACAAGACATTCGTAGTAATACGATTTACATATAAAGACAATATTATTTGAAGCTTTGTCCGCAGGAACAACAACATACTTATCATGAAGAGATGATAGACATTTCACGGCCTCTTTGTCTCTGAAAACGGACTTAGGTCGATCATTCACACAGTTTTTCAACTTATGAATGCGACGTTTTATCAGAGACCTGATAGTTTTGACCCATTCTGACAAAGTGTCCAGTTCAACTTCTTCTCGTTTAGCCCATGCTCTGGCGTAGTCCTCAATGGAATCCATAATTATTTTGAAGTTATGGTTCCAATTGATGTGTTGGGGTTCTCTAAACTTAGGGCCATGAGAAATCACCTTTCGGAGATTTTCATGTTGAATTATGTTTAGATCCCCAGTTATAACATGACCAGAGGGGCTGTAATTATAAGGCGAGTGGGAACAGTCACATGTCGGTGGGTTTTTGAGGTATTGTTCTAAGTCAAGGTCCTGCAATGCTTGTTTATAGTTAAATACTTTAGGTGCAATGGTTTTGGTGTAACTGTAGGATACAATAGGAACAGACTGATTTTGAAAGTAATTATATTTTTGTGAACAAATGACGTAATTTTGCAATAAACAGATTATGATATCTCCGCTGTAGGATGGTAACATTTATTTCATTTGTTTCTACTGTCATGAATAAAGACGGTTATATATGATGCATGTATTTAGTTCAAGGGCATGAATGACAGTATACCACGATGCATTGTAGTCAACAATGAACAATAAAAGTTGAACAATAAAAGCTCATAATACATTGCACAGTCTTCCAATGTAGCATTTTTGAGAATCTTTTGTTACATTATGAAGAAAATCAATTTTATACATTTTCCAAATAATTTCGATATGAAATAAGGAAACAAATATATATTATTCCATAAATAATATGAAGTTTTGTTGTAAGTTTTTTTTATACTTTTTTAAATGAAATGTACAAAAACTGTGTACTAAGGGTATCAATATAAGAACCGTAAGACCCATTAACACAAAAAAAATATATGAAAAGTGTTATATGTCAAGCTCTAAATTATACCTGTTTTTGACCAGCTGAGACTTAGTATTATAGAGACTATACAGTTTTCCGATATCAGCATTTTCAAAAATATACCACTATGATATAATAAAAAAAAAGACAAGTGGCTATTTGAGAATCACTTCTGAACCATTCTAGATTTCAGAATGATGAATTTAACATTAAAAAACAATTTGAAGATTGATATACATACATGCCATATAAAACCACGACAACAACACTTTATATTTAATGCGTCCGAAATGTTTTTTCTAAATTAAACTTCATCAACAACAATCAAATCCGAGTATTTGAAAGGCAAGGATGCATAAGAACAGAAACAATTAAAGAGCTTATGAATAAAAGGACATAAACTAATAGCCAAACTAGGGTCAACTTCTTTTGAGGGAGTTGAAACCTTAGTTTCTTAACAATTTCTAAATTTTCAAATGGACAATTTATGAAAGGTTTATTGTAAATTATATCAAAACAGAAGTAGTGACCATAGAGATTATGATACCCTCGGAAACTGATAGTCCACCATCGACCCAGTGGTGTAAAAAATGAAAACAACACTTTATAAATTTAAAGCGTCCGAAGGCGCTTTTCTGGATTTACCTACATCAGGAACGCTAAAAACCAAATATGTTGAAAGCCAAGTATGTATAAGAACCGAAACAGGTGACGAGCTATATAACCAAAAAAGGGCCTTATTTGATAACCAAATCCAAATAAGGTCAACTTTGCCTGAAGGAGTTGACATATAATTATGTCATATTGGGGATATTTGTGGAGCGGGATCTGTTTGCCCTTCCGGAGCACCTGAGATCACCCCCAGTTTTTGGTGGGGTTCGTGTTGCTCAGTCTTTAGTTTTCTATGTTGTGTTTTGTGTACTATTGTTTGTCTGTTGGTCTTCTATTTTTTTTGTGTGTTTGTTTTTTGTTTTCGAATTAACTAAATTTCACATTGTTGTTTTTCACATGGCTTTATATAAATAAATGACAAGACATTATTGATGGCACACAGGAGCCTACAATGCACTGTTTGTCGTTGGTTACTGTCTATTTTTTATTGTTCTGTCATAAATTAGGCTGATGGTATTTTGTTTGAATTGTTTCACATTATGTCATGTCGGAGCCTTTTATCGCAGACTATCATTATGGTTTTGCTCATTGTTGAAGGCCGTACTGTGAGCTATGAATGCAAAAATCAACGTAATTTGGATTCTGTAAGATTGATGTCTGATCAGCGATCATACATCATCTCATTGCTTTCTATACCAAATCCTGACTTGCACATGATAAACAAAATCAATGGAATAATATTTTAATTGCTATTCACAATGAGGACTTCAACAAAATATAACACCAACAAAAATTTTAAGAAAGTCGAGTATGAGTGATTTCTTCGCTTAATGTAATGTCGATATCACAACTCCAAGGTAGTATATCATATATTTGATGATACAGCTCACAGCAAAGGAACATGTGTCTGTTTTGTATATTTCTATATCATAATGAGGAGATGTGGTATGAATGCCCACGAGACAACTATCTACCTGGGTTTTAATTTGGAAGATATAAGCAATTATAGGTCACCGCACGGCATTCAACAATGAAAAAAAACCCATACAGCTCTAAAAGGCCCAGACATGGAAAATGTGAAACAATGCACACAAGCAATTTAAAGACAGAATTCATAAAAATCTGTATGTACTAACCTTTCAGCCGAATCAGTTTGAATAAATAAACAGACACATCCGTTTGGTTGCTAATTCCAAGTTCAGGCTACTAGAACTAAAATGACTGAATACCATGGGAAGTTTGACGCGCTATAACATAACTTTCATTTGAACGTAACTGTGCCAACGGTTCAGAATACATATGTTCTCAATGGGATATTTTTAGAGATTTTCCATAAAAGTAGCTGGTTAATACGGATTATTTTATAGAATATACATTTGGACCTTGACGCAAGGAAAATGATTAATCTACTAATATATGACAGTACGATTCTTTTCGTTAGGTTTTGGGGTTTTCTTTTGTTATGTCCTGTAATCATATTTCAGTTTTGTTTGTGTGCATATCCTAAAAAGGCTTACATTTCTACTTGTACAAACTTACTGTTGCATTGAGTTTGCCATACAGCGTCACATACTCCCCACGAGGCTGCTAATAGAAAGTGAATGTGCTTCGATTGATCTGGAATCCATATAAGAAAACCTATCATTATACCCATATGAATAATTCCACCGATGGCAAACACAACCTCTCTCGGTATATGTTTGGCACAGATAGCAACAACTATTGCTCCGAGCACGTTGGCAGCACCCATTACAATCATTGAGTAGCCAACATACTTCTCTCCTAGTGCACACGTCACATATGCCTGCAAAGATATGTGCATAAGTATTTAAAATTTTAAAACACATCGATAGAAGCATGCAAAACATACAAAACAAAAATAATATAAACAAGGACTAGTCTACGTTCCCTTTCAACTGGAACACAAATCAATATCTGAAAATCCCAATACCCTCAAAATTTCAAGTACAAACATTTAATGACGTGGAAAGAATCATATATAGCGGCTACAATGTAAAGAACCGTTAATTAGGTATTTTACATTTTGATACGGATAGCTGCGAGTCACAATATAAAGGTTTTTGTAAGATGGTGCAGCAAGCAAAGAACAAGTCCAAAAGGCTTCATGTTGTGTCGAGTAGTATGGTATTTTACTAAATCAACCTGATGAAAATCTGACAATCGATTTATCAAAACATTTTCTGTGTTTTCCATGATAGAAACCAGTTTTTTCACCATCTATCTGGAAGGATATATATTGACTAGGTGTGTAGATAAACTGAAAGCTTTAAGAGAGTAGAGGTTTATCTTGTGTTACCGTCAACCTTTGTAAAATGTATCGAGAAACTATAGTACAGATGGCAATGTTTTTGATTGAACTATATTGGTGAGATAATGTTATGCGCTGCATTGGTAAGTAAGACAATCAATTCCACTTTTAACGATTTACCTGATTGAAATCAGCAAACACAAATCCTTGCTGCAAGCCACTAAAAATAAGAAGTGGAATCAGCAGACGAAATGTTTTGTGTGTTGTCAGCAAAGTCACGTGCTGGACAAAAATCTAAAAATAAAAATATCGCGGAATTTGAAGAAAGCTTCTCTTAATTGTAAACCAAGTTTAATTTAGACAGTTTATTAAAAAGCCTGTCCTTTTTTTTAATTTCTGTTATTTCAACAACATGAATTGCCTGATCTGATGAACTATAACGACTCCAAAAATTGCTGAATGTATTTTTAACTAATTGAGTAAGACCAGCTCCGTAGTCAGTGTTTTGGTACTGATATGATTTATAATATTATCATACCTTTCTTAAAGTCTCTGTTTGAAAATTAAGAAACTGTTCCGATATTGATAACATTAACGGTACAAATGTTAAAGCACCAGATGCACATTTCGACAATCAATGTCTCTTCAGTGATGCTCATGGCACATTTTTTTGAAAATCCAAAACCTTAATTGTTGAAGACCTGATAAAACCAAACAGAACAAATAGTAAAGCTAAAGGTTACAATTCCTTCAAGCCAAGTTGAACCTGATGTAATGGCTATTTTTTTAATGTCCTTTCTGATAATACAGCTCCTACATTTTGTTCGTGTAATACACCATCAGCGTTCACATTGTTAGGTTTGATCATTCCTGATGAAGGAAATCTAAAATTGCACTTCGGACGCACCAAATTTATAAAGTGCTATTCACAGGGTCGATACCTGTGCTAGTGTAATGCTAGTCCCCGAGAATATCATCGGCCTAGTAGTCATTTTGTCGAAATGACATGATTCATAACATAACTTTCTCAAATTTTCAAATGAAATATATAAAAATTATTAAAAAACTTGCAAAGTATACCTTAAGTATCTTTTTATTTCCCTTTTGATCATATAGCCCCTCCTGTATTGGAGTATTTATACATCCCGTGCTTTAGATTTAAGAGTGTTCGTAATGAAGGTTAACCCGGAAAAGAGCTTCCGACGCATCAAATGTATAAAGTTTAATTTCTTTTTTTAAAAACAAAACTTAAGCATGTAACATCGATGGAAGGTGTCAATAAAATGCATAAATTTGATCTAAGTATCAGTCGAGTGATGGGGAGAATATATTGAATGATAAGATAAACTACAATCAACGTTTGACGTTATTTGATATGTTTTTGAAGCAAACATGAGGAGTAATATCAATCAAAAACAGTTGAATCATTCATACTTTTCTATCATAGAAATATAGAAATTTCTATTTAAAAAAAATAACTAATTAGTACATCATGTTTAACAACAACTTATACCAATCTTAACCTATGAAAAAATGTTAATACCAATTAAACAACAATATATTTATCAATCAAGGCGATACATCATGAACCTGATGTTCAGTGGTTGTCGTTTGTTGATGTGGTTCATAAGTGTTTCTCCTTTTTTTATATAGATTAGACCGTTGGTTTTCCTGTTTGAATGGTTTTACACTAGTCATTTTTGGGGCCCTTTATATCTTGCTGTTCGGTGTGAGCCAAGGCTCTGTGTTGAATGCCGTACTTTGACCTATAATGGTTTAATTTTACAAATTGTGCCTTGGATGAAGAGTTGTCTCATTGGCATTCATATCACATCTTCTTATATCTATTGAAATAGTAATCCGGTCGAATGCATACTTTTTTTTCTCTTTAAAGTTTGTATCAAGTTTTGGATTGTCAAAAAATATTTTATTTTGAAATTTCTTCAAATATTTTTTAATATTCTGGCGCTCAAAGTTTGAAATAGATTACCAAGTTCAAAATCGTCAGTTAGTTCTTTCGTTATTCAAGTAAAGGTGCTTTGGTCACATCTAGGATTTATTTAGGTATAGATAGTAACAACCCTTCATCACTTTGGAACTTTTCTCTCAAGTCAATTATATCAGAAGATATGGTGCACTTTTTCTATTCTTATATGATGGAGTCTTCCCTAATTATTGGTAGGCGTCACTCATCATATCAACATGACCGCCATATGTTTTATATACAGTTCCATGTTATAGAATTTATGGGTTTAACTAACTGATTATCAATAGGATTATTTGAAAAACATAGTATTACATTGTAATTGGATATGTTTGTAAACACTTTTTGATCTCTACTCTGTTCATGGTAATTTACTTTGAAGCGTTGTGTTAGAATTATGTATATTGGATATTGCGCCATTATGTATATTGACAGTGGAGATGATTATGCAACATTTGCGGCGTTTCATTTTTCGGAAGAAAAAAAATATTTGATTTAAAAAATGAATAATATATGCTAGGGATACTATAGCCAAGCTGAATAAGTAGATTATTCAAACTTTCAATTGAAAAGAAGCTCTTAGTATAATTGCACGAATAATATTAATTGTTGTTCGCTTACATAAGTGGCAAATATTATTTACACGAATTATATAACTCAAGTAATATTCTAATAATTCACTGACATTGCTTCAATTGCATGGACCCTAAATTTACTATTGGTTTGCTTTACCACATCTTTATACTTTATACTTTTTTAATGGTTATCGGTTGTCTTTTTAAGTTTTCTGCAAATAGAATTGTATTGCCTTATTTCATAAATACAATTTAAAAACCATATTTGTTTCCTTGGATTGTTGATTGAGAACACATAATTTTCTCGCATCGTTAGGTTTGGCGTCTTGTAATTTCCATATGTTTGGTAAATACACATTCTAGATTAAACAATTAATGAAATTGTATAGATTTAATCTAAAGTTATATTAGAAATGAACACTTAGGTCTATTCATTACCTGACGTCCTGTTTTTTCTGGATCTATTCTAGCACCAATTCTATCCAAGCAGAAGAAAATAAGGCAAAATCCCATAAAAGCAATTACTAAATAGGCACACATCAGCTTCCATATCACCGGAAAACTATCCAGACCTTCAAATAGAAGAGCATTTATACAAAGAGAAACATATAACTATAAATACCTTCAAATATAAGATCAGTTATCCAAAGAGTAACATTTTTCACATTTCATTTATTACTAAAACGAAACAAAAACAAAAACCTATATTATTTAGACAGGCAAACCGTTGCTATTACGCATACACATAATGACTGCATTAATTCTTTTGATTTTTTTATATTGCAATTTCTGATGAATTTTTGCAAAATACGATGTCATACATGTAAATGTTCATGATCAATGACGTCACACGAATCGCCAACTATGTTGGTTTGTTTATGTTTGCTTTTTTTTCTGTTTAGTCTAATATTATAATTTATGGTATCAATGACACAGCAACCCATCATATAATAAATGAAGAATGTGTCCATGGGACACAAATGATGTCCCCGCTTGCGTATAACGTATAAAGGGACATAACTCAAGACAGTAAAAGTGACGCCAACCAAATATGGATTTGAACTGAGTTTTGTGGTAATGAGCATTGTGTATCAGTTTCAACATTTTGTTGAGGCAAACTTAAGTTAGAGAAAGTAACACGAAAAATTCAGCATGTTTGAGGTAATAAACATTATAAATCATCTCCAAGGAATAATAAAGTTAAGTTTCATAACATTTGGTTGAGGCAAACTAAAGTAAGAAAACGGAAATCAATTTCGGGACGTATGGAAGGACGAACAGACGGACAAGGGAAACACTTAATGCCCCTCCCCGGCGGAGGCATAAAAAACAAAAGACACTTAGAGATCAAAATACGGGCTTCCAGTGTAAGTATCATAACCTGATGTTAATGTCTATAAATTGCCCATGAGTCGTTCCACGTTTCTTTCTTTATAAGGACACAGTTTAGATATAAGTAAGACAACTGCAGACGTAGTTCTTAAAGTTAGATAGGCAGGCTTAATTGAAACGGTTTCAACTAGTTGTTATACTCAACTCAGGCCATATTGGTCTAGATCGGTAAAACATCACTGTTTATTAAATTCTCCATATTTCCACAATAAAGTCGTATATTTGTGATATTTTAAGGTAAAGGATTATTTTATCATACACGAGTATATGGTGTAAAATATTTCTACTGATCAAAAAGTACATTTCTAAAAATCTGAGACGCGAATGCAAACATGCACGCATCCAGACATATACAACCAACCGAGAAATGTAAATACCTTTAGAAAATCAAATGGAGTATTATCATCATAAAAAAGGCAAATAAAAGGAAAGAAAGATATCGAGTTTACTCTGAAGATCAGCATCAGGAATTCTAATAACAAGGTGTACAATTTGAACATCGGATTTAGTTACAGATGTTTCATGTGGACGAATTTCATTGATATATTTAAAAACGCATGGCTTTGTTTCAGAAAGAATAAGTCGACTAAACAATGATTTCTGTGCAATGAATTTGTCTATATTGGCTATATTGTTCTAAAGAATTATTGGTATTGATAATGTCGTTAACGAGGAATGGCATCGCGGAAATTACCCGGTATGCCCATATTGTTTCTTAAAAGTATATGTTTTTGTCTTTTTTGTGTGTCATGTCTGAGCAGTGGCATCGTCTGAATACCCAGCATGACCATATTGTTTATTATAGATTAATCTGTCTATTGTATTCTGAAGAGAAACACTTCATTAAATATCGACAGTAATAATGCTTTCGACAGCGAAATCTTTATCTTATGTCTCCAAATAGACACTAACGTATATCGATTAACACTCCAATCAACATTTCGTTTGTGTATAATCAATGGATTTAGTTTTTCTTTTTATTGTATATATAGAACATATTTTTTTCTTCTTTTGTAATGTAAAGAGCCGTTATCGAAATGTCGAATAGGTTTTATCACGTCTGAGAAATGAGGCGATTGGCAAAATGGAAAAATTTCACACCACAAGAAACTAAATCAAATCACGCGCTGTCAGACAATCGATTTGAAAGTGTCGTCTGCTAGAAGTATCAAATCATTAAGAACTTAATACTAATGTCCATCAGACTGTAGGTGCCGAAGTCAAACGGTTGCCCTATTTATGATATACATGTATAACGCTTTTTTCTAAAATCTGTCTAAGTATGCTTAACACCATTATAACCATGTGACATTTTCAGAACGATAACAAACTCTTATATCAAATCATGTGAATTGTTTCAATTTAGGTGGGAGTATGAATGATCTGAAACATCACGATTCTTTAAAAACTACATCTTAATCAAATTTAATAACTTTATTATTCCTTGGAGATGATTTTAAAGTGCCCTCCTTTTATAACCTTTATCAATGATTCATAGTATTTTCACATTCTAGTTCTAAGATATATGAGCTATGCCTTTTATTCATTCTGTAATTGCTGGCTTCTTGATTCTTGAAAAAAAATATTTTCATTAAAGATTGAGTTTTTTGATAACACAAGGAGTTACCTTTTCCATTCTTAACTTCAAATTAAACTGTTATCGTTATCTTCAAATGAAAGTAAAACGTAATGTCCATAACGAAAATGCCAAGACAGCCAAATATGGATAAAACATCAAGAGATGTAATGTCTAACCTAAGAGAGCCCAAGTGGGATAAATACACTTAGAGCTGTAATGTCGAAAAATTGAAAATTACACTTTATAAATTTGGTGCACTAGAAGCGCTTTCCTGAATTTACCGTCATCACGAACATTCAAACCGAAAAATTTGAAAACAAAGAATGTGCAAAAACCTCAATACGTGAGGAAAATGTTACCAAAAGAAACTAAAGAGAATAGACAAATGCACTCAAAGTCAACTTTGCCTGTCGTAGTTGGAACCTTCGTTTCTAATGAATTTCTCAGTTAACCAACAGAGCATTTTAGAATAGTTTGTTATAAATCATACCAGTACCGTCTACTGAACTATTGATACTCTCAAGGACAAACAGTCCACCAGCAGTGGAATCGACCCAGTGCTAGAAAAGTCAAATTTCCTCTTCAGACTTTGATGCATCCGAAACATCTTGATGTACCATAATAAGGTTCATCCAAACACAAAAATTTGATAGCCAAGGATGTTTAACCTGAATCCATAAGAAAACCGTGGACAGCCAAAGTGTGATAATACATAAGGAGTTGTGGAGCCAAAACCGTGGAAAGCCAACGTGTGATAATACATAAGAGATGCGGAGCCAAAGTGTGATAATAGATAAGAAGTTGTAAAGTTAAAAACCAAATCAAGGACAACCAAAGTATGATAATACATATAAGCTGTAAAGCCAGAAATCAAAGACAACCAAAATGTGATAATACAAATAAGCTCAAAAGCAAAATATCAAGGGAACCAAAGTGTGATATTACACAAGAAGCTGAAAAGCCAAAAATCGAGGACAACCAAAATATTATAATACATGATGAACTGTCAATCCAAAACAAAGAAGAACCAAAGTACTAAAATACACATGGGGCTGTTAAGCTTAACATGGGAGAGCCAAAGTACTAAAATACACATGAAGCTGTAAAGCTTAACCTAGAAGAGCCAAAGGACTAAAATACACATGACGCTGTAAAGCTTTACCTACAAAAGCCAAAGTACTGAAATACACATGTTGCTGCAAAGCTTAACTTAAAAGAGCCAAAGTTATAAAATACACATAGGGATGTAAAGCTTAACCTGGGAGCGCCAAAGTGCGATAATACATGATGTGATGTACTGTAAAGCCAAAAACTAAGGGAAACAAAGTAGGTTAATACATAAGGAGTTGTGGAGCCAAAAACTAGGAGAGCCAAAGTTTTGTAATGCATAAGAAGCTGTAGAGTTAAAATCTAAAAGAATCAAATTGTGATAAATCATATGGAGCTGTAATGACGAAACATAAAGAAATTCAATAATAAATGCGGAGTTGTAAATCCAAAACAAGAAGAGCCAAAGTGATAAAATATACACGGGGCTATTAAGCTTAACATAGAAGAGCCGAAGAGCTAAAATATGCATAGGGCTGTAAAGCTTAATATAGGAGAGACAATGTGCGATAATACACGATGAACTGTAAAGCCAAAACCTAGGGGAAACAAAGTATGCTAATACATAAGAAGATGTGGAGCCAAAACCTAGGAGAGCTAAAGTATGATAATACATAAGAAGCTGTAAGGTCAAAAACCAATGCAAGGACAACCAAAGTATGATTATACATATAAGCTGTAAAGCCAAAAATCAATGACATCCAAATGTGATAATATAAAAAAGCTGTAGAGCCAAAAATCAAGGGAACCAAAGTGTGAATATAATTAATACACATAAGCTGTAAAGCAAAAAATCAGGGACACCAAAATGTGATAAATACGTAAGCTGTAAGGCCAAAAAATCAAGGACAACCAAAGTATTTTAATACATATAAGCTGTAAAGCCAAAAATCAAGTACAACCAAAGTGTGATGATACATATAAGCTGTAGAGCCAAAAATAAAGGACAACCAAAGTGTGATAATACATATAAGCTGTAAAGCCAAAAATCACGTACAACCAAAATGTGACAAACACATAAGCTGTAAAGCTGTAAAGTTGTGCAGTCCTAGGTAAAGCCAAATCCATCATTTAACTAGATGCGCTACAGTCCCTTTTTAATTAACAGAATGTTTTAGAAATGTGTACAGATACGTATATAAGTATAATTAATACTAAGTCTTGATAATTCAGTTCTTATAGAGGGGTACGGAATATATGAAGAAGATAGAGACCTAGGTAATAAGCCTGATAAAACAGATTATACCATGACCAAAAAGAAAAACGATGAAAAGACAAACAACAGTCAAGAAAACACTATATAGAAATCTACAAATTGAGCAAATAGAACCCAATCAAAAAACGGAACAGACTCAGGTGTTCCGGAAAAGTCCGCAATTCCCGCTTTACCTGTGACACCTAGGGTGTTTCTCTTGTTAAAATACATTGGTGTGTCAAATCCAATTTTTCAAAACTTTACAATCAGGAGATAACAATATCGTGTTCAAAGATGTG